GGGGGCTGAGATATTGAACTGATCAAGTCGTTAGAATCAATCGTACAGTGATTGCCTTTAGAACAATGCCAGCGGTCTGCTTCACGGTTTGTCCATGAAGGGCAGTGGAAGGGAACTCTCCAAGGTACGAGTGTGTGGCGGTGTTTGGGAGTTTTGGAGTCTGAATGTTCTCTGGGGTTTTTTAACCTATAGAAGGTAAAAACGAGGTACCGTACGTCTAAATCGAAATACTGCTGAAGGTCCTCAATTAGTTCTTGAGAATTGACATTTATAGTTAAACGTCGTTCAAATTTTTCATCTCTCTTGCCTTATGTTTAATCCACAATTTTACGTACCTTCAGGATTGTTTTTATACATTGAAACAGTGGTCAGGGCGTGCTGGTACCTCGACTGGTGTCATGCTGGACAGGTGTGGGTCGCTCTGATCCAAGTCCCCAGAGATGTTGTTTGGGAAATTTTCAAAACCCTGCTACCCTCTTGGTGGATCCTCTTAGAGATGAATGTCGAACATTTAAAAAGAAATTAAAATCCCGCCTCTTAAATCTTTCGGCTGTGTTTTCAAGGCATTAAATTAAAATCATACCATGCCACCAATCAAGCAGGCAGTTTTTTAGATCATGGAGTTATTTTTGTGGACTCTCTTTAAAGAGTAAGATTTTTTTCTTCAATTTTCAATGGCGCTTGAATGGCATAGGTGGTTGGTTAATTTCCACAAAGTTAAGGGTAGAGAATTATATAGTGGGTAATTTTGTGCCGGTTGTTTGTGAGATTTGCGTGTGTTTATGTGCATGTGCAGGGTGTTTGCTGTTTTTAGATGTACTTTTGTGAGGTGTGTGTTTGGAAAACTAGAAGAAACTGTTCTGGAGGCTGCTGGCATTTTCTAAAGAATTCTGAGACAGGAGCGTTCTCCATGCATTCCCTGAGTCTATTTATTCACCGCCCTCCAACTCATAGCTGGGTCAGCCCCCGAGGAGGCGTCAAGCATACGGCAGAGATCCTTTTCTCTGTTTGCACTTTGTTATCAAGTAATTATTGTTATTATCTTTCAACTTGGAAAAGCATATTATCATAACTAGGCTTCCAGCCCTCCCCTATCAGTGGAACATACAAGTGTGTTCATTGTTCGCAGAACATTTCTAATCCAAATAAAGCCATTAGCTGTGGTCCAGCGCTTCTTGAGGGGGTTTTGGATCATTTCTGTCCCGTGTCGTCAAATTGTCGCGTGTCGTCAAATTGTCCCGTGTCGTCAAATTGTCGCGTGTCGTCAAATTGACAGAGCTGTGGGAAAGAATAGTCTCATTTGATATTTGTCAATTTCCATACGAGAAGAAATGGCATTTATTGTGTACAGGTTAGGCTGAACATTCCCATCTATGAGAGGATATTTCCTCCGATATCTCTACCACTGTGCTGGGGTGTTTCCCAACGTGGCCCCGACAGGTAGATCCAAGCCACCTGCCTCCGCTACGATCTTTTTATTTTGTTGATAGTGGGAAAATACTTTCATCGAAATTCTTGTTACAAGACACACTATGTGGATAGTGCTGGGAAATACTTTCATCGAAAGTCTTGTTACAAGACACTCTACAAGGGAAGAGAACACATTCTGATTAGCTTACACAGCCTTTGACAGGCAGTCTTAGAAAATTATTATTTGACCACATCCATTTTTTCCCCACTCTCCAAAATTTGTTTATTCATCCGAGTACTGAGAGCACCTTAGTCTCATCAGAGATCCAGTCATTCACATAAACCTGTTTTGCGTTGTCTCTATTTGTTTGTTCCCCCCCACACCCCACCCTTATCCCCACCCCCACC